ACAGCAAGGACTAGTTTTGCCTGGCACTTGTGTGGAGACCAGACATAAGTGCCTGGGTCAATCTGAGCCCCTGAACTCCCTTCCTTCTCTGCCTCTTCCGAGATGCTAATTGCCCCAGAAGCAGCTGAGGCCATGTTCTATCTCTCTTCTGCATTAGCCCATACAGTTGGTTGCTGGGAATAGCAGTCTGCATCATCCCAAACAATGTTATCCCATTGCACTGTATCCCGGTGCCGTAAAAGATACAATACTCTATGTATCTTTCACGTAGCTACAGCAGTCACATACAGGAAAAGTAATGAAGGAAAATGTTGAAGTGCGAAGTCTAGAATTGTTCATATTGGTTCAAAAAGTTAAGAACACAGTGACCCTTTTTTAGTCTAGCTTCATAACTTCTGTCTATAAATGCCTTCTAGATGACATCTTGAACAAAAAGAAGAGAATATTCCGGGTAACTGTGAAAAACATTATCAAACATTGTATCCTGGCACCTATTACAGATATTATGTACAATATTGTATCAAACAATATATCTATATTGCTTGTTTCTGGATAGCGAGAGCTGCAAAATTGGACAGTACAAAACAGATCCAAGGTGTAGAAGTAGGTCTGAGAGTCAATAGCAAAGAAATGATACTTTAATCCATGTGAATGCATGACACCATGAAATGATAAAGATGTGGAACACAAGAACGGACATAGTGGGTCAGACCAAAGGTCCATCTAGCCCAGTATCCTGTCTTCCAACAGTGGACAATGCCGGGTGCCCCAGAGGGAATGAACAGAACAGGTAATCATCAAGTGATCCATCCCCTGTCGCCCATTCCCAGCTTCTGGAAAAAACAGTAAAAAAGAGGAGAGGACCATTGATGAAGGCCTATGTGACTAGAAGGGAAGTCATAAACTGTCCCAAAATATACAGATTTCATAGATTTCAAGGCTAGAAGGGACCATTGTGATCATCTAGTCCGATCTCCGGTAGAACACGAGCCATAGAACTTCCCCAAAATAATTCCTAGAGCATATCTTTTAGAAAAAAAATCCAATCTTGATTTAAAAATGTGCAGTGATGGAGAATCCACCATGACCCTTGATAAGTTTTTCCAATGGTTAATTACTCACTGTTAAAAATGTATTCCTTATTTCCAATCTGAATTTGTCTAGCTTTGACTTCCAACCATTGGGGATTGTGTTATACCTTTCTCTGCTAGATTGAAGAGACCGTCATTAAATATTTGTTCCCCATGTAGGCATTTATAGATTGTAATCAAGTCACTCCTTAATCTTCTCTTTGTTAAACTAAACACAGGAAAAGCTGTTTTATCCGGTTTATAGTTCGGTTGGCGTGGGACCGGCAGGGCTCTGGGAAGGAATTTGAGTGTGGGAACGGACTTGGGACATGGGAGCGAGTGCAGGGTGCTGGATCCGGGAGCTGCTCACCACGGGTGGCTTCCCACAAGCGGCAACCTGTCCCGAATGCTCTTAGATGGAGGCGTGGCAGGCAGTTCTGCGAGCTGCCTCCGCCCGCAGCTGCTGCCCTGGCAGCTCCCATTGGCCACTGTTTCTGGCCAATGGGAGCTGCGGAGGCAGCGCTCGGGGTGGGGGCAGTGCGCAGAGGGCCAAAAAACAATCCCTGCAGGACCCCACTAGAAACACACCTGCTTGATGATGATGATGATTCCCTGTTTACAGTTACATGTTGAGACCTATCTGGTAGCCAGGTTTTAATCCATTTAAGGTGTACCATGTCAATTTGATATCATTTTGATTAATAATCAAAATGTTATGCAGCACCAAGTGAAATGCCTTACAAAAGTCTAAGTCTATTGCGTAAACAGTACTAGCTTTATCAACCAAACTTGTAAAGTCATCAAAAAAAGGTATCGAGTTAGTTTGACAGGATCTATTTTTCTTAAACAAATGTTGAGTGGCATTTATTGCATTATCCTCCTTTAATTCTTTACTAATTGAGTCATGCATCAACCACTGCATTAGCTTGGCCTGAATTGATGTCAGCCTGTGTAATGGGCTACATTTGCTGCTGGGGTTGTTATAAGAGCCAAGACCAACACATACACAGTTATGATTACTGTCTGCTGCCTTACTAACAAGTAAATTATCAAGGCACCTCCTTGTGGCTGAGTATGGGGATTAGCTCCACCCAGACTGATGCTGCCTTCCTTTTGTCACTTGTGCTGTGGGCACTGGTGCTCTCTAGGAGTCACAGTGCTTCCTGCTTGTGGCTTGGTCCACTGGCTGGGTCACTATTTTCCCCTTCCAAGGGTAACAAAAGTCTCACCAGACCAGATGTCCTGGTGCCATTCCGGATAGTCTTGCTGTTCAAGACTGTGCCAATTTCCTAGCGGCTGGTAAAGGATCCTGGGCCCACCCGCTACTCTGGGTTCCAGCCCAGGGATCCTACAATCAGCAGCCAAGGTCTGTACCATCTCAACCCTTTTTGCCATTTCCCTGGGCCTCCTCCTGCTCCGACAACTTTCTTCACCACTCTTCTGAGTAAACCCCTTCCATCAGGGTCAGGATCTCAGTTTTCTGTGCCCCCCCCCCCCCGGGTCTCCTCCTTCTCTCCTCACAAGGCCAAAGAATGACTACAGACTTCTACACTACAGTCCCCTTCTGCTCTCACTTCCTGTCTTTCTACAAGCTCAGCCTGGGCTTCATCATCAATTAGTGTCAGTCAAGCCGAAGTCTCCCCTCAGGTGTTTCCTGTAAAGTTAATTGACCCTTTCTGAACCACTTTAAACCCATCAGGGTTGGTGTGGTATGAACACCCTCATCACAGTCTGACAGACCTATAATTATCTGGGTCATCCTGTTTATCTTTTTTAAATAATGGCTTTGGTTTTCTGGAACTTCCCCCATGTTCCAATACTTATTGAAAATCAGTGTTAATGGTCCAGTGATCTCCTCCGACAGCTCTTTTAAAACTCTTGGAAGCAAGTTATCTGAACCTGCTGATTTTAAAATGTCTGACTTTAGTAGCTGCTGTTTAACATCCTCCTGAGATATTAGTGGAATGGAAAGAGTGTTTTCATCATACGAGACTATGTCATCTATTTTTTTCCCAAATACAGAACAGAAGTATTTATGAACACTTCTGCCTTTTCTGCATTACTATTGATAATTCTACCATTTCCATCTAGTAATAGACCAATGCCATTGTCAGGATACTTTCTGTTCCCAGTATACTTAAAAATCTCATTCTTATTGTCCTTAACTCTGCTGGCCATAGATTTCTCCTTGTGTCCCTTTGCTTCCCTGGTCAATTTTCTACAATTATTAGCTTCTGATTTATATTCATTATTATCAACTTCCCTTTATTGCCATTTGGTATATTTATTTGTTATAGTTGCCTTCACTTCCCCGCTAAACCTGGTCAGTTTTTAAACCAATATGCCATCTTCCTCAGTTGTGGCTTTTGGGCATCCCATGAAGTGTTCTTAAACAATTCCCAATTATCATTCGCATTCTTCTGATTAAATTCTTCCTCCCAGCTGATGTGGCTCGTAATTGTTTTCAGCTCTGTGAAATTGGCCCTTTCAGGTGCATCAATAAAGAAATTCTAAATAGAAACAAATCTGAGTAGAAATTTTAAAAGTTAAATTCCTTTGCAAAAACGTTGCCCGCTTCTGTAATCAGCATGTTAAAAATAAAAATATAAATAAATGTCCATGGCACAATGTGTATCTTTAAGAAGCTTAAGTTTATGCCTCAAAAGTGGCATATGGAGCATCAGGCCCGCCAACAGCAATTCTGGGCCCCAGGGCAGGACAGTCAATGGGCCCCCATCCCGTGCAGACACGGTCCACCTGACATTTGGGCAGTGCTGCACCTGTACTGGCTGGTGCCCAGCGAGCTGCTGCCGGCTGTGCTGCTGGTGCCCAGCGAGCTGCCGCTGGCTGTGCTGCTGGGCGTGCTCTTCTTCCTTCGCCGCCGGTACCATCCCGCACGCGCCTAGGAGCCCTGCCAGAGGCGACTAGTGGGAGGGACACAAAGGGGGGCACCAGCTAAGGGGAGGGACACATGTGACACCCACATGTGACCTCTCGCATGTGACCTTCCACGTGACTCCTCCCCTCCCTGCCCCGTCCCCAGCCCAGGGTCCCTGCACTCTCCCCATCCCCTTCTCCCCATCCCAGGTTACCTCCTGCTGTGCCAGCCTGGCTCCTCCTGGCTGTTTGGCTGCTCGCCTGACAGCCAGGCTCTGGAGCCACTCCTGGATCTGCCCAGTGCAGCACAGAAGCTGCCCGGGAGAGCACCTGCCTGCAGTAGCAGCAGGCTGACCCCCCCCAGGCTCAGCTTCTGGTGACAGTGGCCAGAGCTCCCACACCCTCCCCAGCATGCTCAGAGATGGCTTCTGTCCCCAGACATGAGGGCTAAAAACTTCCTTGTATTTTTAAATGAAAGTAGAGATTTCCACATAATTACAGAATTCCAGGAACTGAGGCTTTCAAAAAACAACAACCCAGAACATTAAGTGTCAGCAGATTTGCAATCATAAGATTTGACAATACTGGAAATAGAGGCAGATGAGAGTGCCATTTTGAATGGCCTGCCACACTCATACCAGAAATTGCTAAAGCACAAATCCAATCTGTATGTGAGTGTAACATAGTTGGCCCAGTTACTTATCAAAGCTCAAACATCCAGCCTGTGTTTTTTATACGAGAGAAAAATGCTTCAAAACTGAAGATCTGATTACGTATGACAATAGGTAACGCTACAATCTTTGTAGAATGACATATTGGAAAGAATACATGAGGGAATATGTGAATATTAATTGTTTGGGTGGAGCCCACCCAAATGGCTGAAGAGCCTATCAAGACAGCTGACAAACCTGACAGACAAGTTGCTGCAGAGAAAGACCAGACTTGGCACATGAACCCAGTCTCTCTGATGAACTCACGCAGCACTAATCACAGAGCCACTGGTGCAGCCCATGAAATTGAAATGTTGGGGACAAAATAATCTTAGGAACTCACCGTGCTCATCCAGCAGTATGTTGTCAGGTTTGATATCTCTGTAAAATAAGAAATGGAAGTGCATTATATACAGTACTGAATGGATATATGCAAATTCAAAAGTGTTTCTCTTCTGTGCAGGAGACCTGGGTCAATAAAACTATTACACTTCCGAAGGAAACCACACATTACCCAAAGGCAAATGATTCTATTGATGTCCTTTTACTGACCTGAGAAAATGGGCATGCTGAGCAGATTCAGTTAGTTTCCATTTGACATGGCTTTATTTTCACATGGCTAGCACTGAAACAGGTAGCTTTTAGTGATTACATGAATTATTCATTACAACAGGGGGCAGGGAGAGGGGGTGATTTGCAGCTGGAGGTGCCCATTTGTCTTGGGGAGTCTTGGTTTGACAGACCTGAGCAAGGAGGGCATGGACGGGGCATTAATAGGGGACATGGATGACCCCTCCACACCTCCCACTATCCACTAATCTCCCATGTCCCCCCCCCACATTGCCACACAGTCCTCCTAACCACCCCTTGCCACCACTCCCCATAACTCCTCACATGGCTACCTACTCCATGGAGCAGTAGGTAAGTGGAGATTTGGGTGTTATTAAGGGGGGCACGGTTGTGTGTGCGGAAGCCTGGGATGAAAGGGACTGTGACAGAGCTGGGGGCAAGGCACTGGCACTTGCAGGGCTCCCCTAAACTGCTACCTCAGCTTTGGGGCACATGGAAACAGCATGGCCATGGTTTGGAGTCTTAATATGCTGATGCCCACGCAGAAAGATGCTAAACTCCCCATCATCCCACCTTGAAGTCAAGCTGCCTTGGACTGAAGTTTCTACTAATCTCATGAAAGCAGCCATTACAAACTCTCAAACTGAGCGGGAGAACTTATCTATAATTTATGAACTAGTTTTACTTAATAAGTAATAAAGACCTTGATACATGCATTTCCATTTACCCAAGTGACAATTTGATTACTTCAAGTTAAATACTTCTCAGGAAATATAAACTAGAATTATAACAAGCCTGTAAATTACTTTAAAATATGCTAATATGTATTTAGATTTCACTAATAAGTTTCAACCTAGGTGCCTAGAAATAAATTGAGTCAATAAGTGGTTAAAAGTGCTGAAAGTGGAAAATTTGTTACACTAGTTCAGAACACTACTTTTTAAATGAAACTGTACACAGCAAAAAGACAGTGGCAGCAATTACACCCTAGACATTTTTCACATAACATGATTTGTGATATCACACAAAATTGACAGCTTTTCAGACAAGAGAAAGAAGCTTGATGGCTGAGTTAAGAGTTATAAGATATAAAGTTTTCATTGCTTTAACATTCGGTAAGAATCCTAAGAACTCATAAGTAAATTAAAACTATGGTTGCAAGTTAGCTGTGGTAGTAACAATGGTGAATTTCAGGAAAAATCAGAAATAGCTTTGAAACATTCAGTGCATACTTGGGGATAATGTGCATGTGTAAAAAGTCTGGCTATAAATTACTGTCTGGAAAGGCCATTTAGAATTTATATTTCCAAGTTTCTAACTTTAGACTTATTTTTGATTGAAAACTGTCACAAACAACTCCATAAAATTTTGTTTTGTATAAATTTTGATTGGCAAATCAGTAAAAAGCTGTTTTAAGGATCTATAGTTTCCATGAAATCAAATATGCCCAATGGAGTGCCATCTATGAATGCAAGGCATGCACTGCATGCCTGACCTTCTGGGCATTGTCCAACTTTCACCTGTGGGCCAAATCTGATTTGTAGGATGATTCTGTCCAGCCCATGAGGACACCATTTTGTAAAACAAACCTCCGCACAGTGTGACCTCACATGCAGCGTACATGCGAGTTCATGCTGCACGGAGGATGCCATTTTGGACCACCTAAGGTATACAAGTGAGCTGGTGTGGCCTTACTAAAATTGTCACAGCATGCCACTGGATATACCCATTAGTATCAAAATTGCCTCCCCAGAATGGTATACACAATCAGAATAAATTTACCACTTTGTGACTTCTAGATAAACGTAAGCCTCCTGGGGAGGATCCTCAACTGTTGTAAATTGTCAGAGCTCTGGTGATTTCAGTGAAGATACAACAATGTACACAGACTGAGGATCTGTCCCTTCAGGTAATTTACTTAAACTTTGTCTCTGCTGTCACATAACCATTTTTATTTTACTTTTTCTAATTTATTATTCATCCTTATATTTTGTTAATCAAAATATATACACATATTAATTCTCAAGACTTTGCTTTAGTTTAAGATACCCAAAATTCAACAAATTCAAAAGAAACATGGAATAGGTAACTGATCAATTAAAATTTTTTAGACAGTATATGCTGTTATAATATTTAGAGCCTGATCCTGCACATCTCAAGTGAGTAAAGATACTTCTGCTTAGGTCTTTGCAGGCTTCAGCTTTTTATTTAATAATGAAGCAGAGTTTAGCAGCATTAGGGATATAATTTAAAAGATCTTAACTGAATTTCTCATTTCAGGAAATACAGTTTAAGCGCTTGATCCTGCTCCTATTGAGATAAATGGAAAAACTCAACATGGCTTCAGTGGGAGTAAGATTGGATCAGAGTTCTATAAAGTTAATAAAATGGGAATTCTGTTTCATAATCTATGATAGTTTTTCATGACAATGCAAAAAGGTACCCACGAGTTTAGTTATCCTAAACTCAATCCTTTTTAAATTTCAGTTTTTGTGAATTTTAAGAATGAGATAAATATCAGAAATGGTTTATAAGCATTAAATACTTATTATTATGTAAACATAAAATATTACATTAAAAGAAATTGGATCTAGTCTGGCAAATCCAATGTTCACACTGTATATTGCCTCACAACAGATGTGTTCTACTTGGTGGGTGTATCTATAATGTTCTGAAGCAGTCAAATGATAACATTAGATCTATGCTAATCTACCTGAGACAAATTCAGTGAGTGGTTTACACATGATATCCCAGATCCACATATACCAGGGGTTGGCAACCTTTCAGAAGTGGTGTGCCGAATCTTCATTTATTCACTCTAATTTAAGGTTTCGCGTGCCAGTAATACAATTGAATGTTTTTGAAAGGTCTCTTTCTATAAGTCTTTAATATATAACTAAACTGTTGTATGTAAAGTAAATAAGGTTTTTAAAATGGTTAAGAGGCTTTATTTAAAATTAAATTAAAATGCAGAGCCCCCCGGACCAGTGTCCAGGACCCAGGCAGTGTGAGTGCCACTGGAAATCAGCTCACGTGCCGCCTTCGGCACGCGTGCCATAGGTTGCCTACCCCGGACATACACTGTAGACAAGGTTTTTTCCCCACCTGGGGGAACTACTATAACACCTGCTCCATTTATTTTATTCTTTCTATTCTGAGGCAAGGCAGTGTGTGACTACAGCCTTGGGGCAGGTTACCCTGGGTTATGTCTTATTCTGGAAAGCAATCTAATCAGTCAAAACCTACAGAACTGTGATACATATATACAACTGCTTTGTCTGGAAAGAAATGCATTTAAAGCAAGGACAAGTCAGGAGCTAGCCAAAATCACTAGAAAAACATGCAGTTATTGTTATTGGGTATTCAGTACCTGGAACATTTACCTCCAACAGACCAAAGTAAACCAGTCTCTTGAAAAATAAATGGTCTGGTCAAATATATCTAAGTGTATGAGTAAAGCATAGTGCAATACATGAAAATGGTCATAAGTGGGACAAGCCATTTGACTAGCAGCATAAATTCAGACATGTTAATTTAAGTAAAAAATCTATTTGTTATGATAGAAAGTATTTTGCATCTTAGCATGCCTGTTCAAATAGCAGTATGTGAAATTCAGTGCATTAACTTCAAGGTTTTTTGTCTATTATGAATATCCATACAAATGAACGGAAGCCATCAAATCAGGATCCAGGACCTCATAGGGGTCCTGCTTCAAGCTCACAATAGAAATCCCATTACATCTGCAAAAAGCACACTAAGTCAGACGTTGAACTGTGCCTATTCCTTGTGCTGCTTCCACATCATTCGCTATGTAGTGTTTAGCAGTGCTACTGTATTCACCAGTTTCCATAAGAGGGGAAGTTCATTCCATTTACCCCCTTTGCTTAGTGTGAATTGGTTACTAGTCAGCATCTCCTTGTAAAGAGCAGATTGATCCAAGCAGCTTGATTGTCATAATCGGGCATAGGACAGAAGAAAAGAGGTATGCGTGTAAGCTTTTCTTGCTAACCATTGCCTGTAAAACCACTTCTGCCTCCCTTTGTTCTCTGGATATTAGAGTGTGTCAGACTGGTGTTGCCTTAAGAATATAAATACAATCAAAATAGAAAATACCCTACCAAGATTCCAAATAAGAAATTAACTTCAGCTATGAAATCCAGAGCGAGTGGAATCCCCACTGTAAAGATGTTCACTGTGTAGAGAGCATACCATGTTGCTCACATTATACTGATCAAGCTCAACCAAGGCACGATTCAAAGCCCACTGAAGTCAGTGGAATAGCTCAAGTTGACCTTGAGGGGCTTAGCTTCTCGTCCTTAATGTCTCCACTGCTCTTTCCTTTCTCTGGCTCATGTTGGAGAGTGGGGTAGAAGCCAGCTTTTACACCAGGAAGTCAGCAACTGACAGGAGCAGAGCAATTGGATTTACAATCCAAAATCTAGGGTGCTGGAAAGCATCCATTCAAATAAATGATGAAGTTAAAAAAAAACACATGCTGCATCTTAATTGCCTTTTTTTTTCCTGTTTGTGTGCAGTTTATTGTTGATGATCCAATAAACTTTTCTTCAGGAAATCAATCAGATGGTGTGAGTGTGGTAAAGGTTGTCATGGTGGTCTGTGTAAAGCCTGGTTTTGAATCTCTGCCCTTGTCTCTTCCTTCTTGGGCTGGAAGGATGGCAAAGGCAGCATGCTGAACCATTGAGGAGTGGGAAGGCTTCATCCAGATGGAATGTTGTCTTTTCCCCTTTAAGAACATAAGAACAGCCATAGTGGGTCAGACCAAAGGTCTATCCAGCCCAGTATCCAGTCTT